ACACTGGAAGGACAGTGTTGAGCTGTTAAGACTCTTGGTGGTATTACCCTAATTCTACAGGAGGGAATCTGAGGTTCAAAGAGAGTAAGCACTTGAAGCAAGAGCAGAAAGCTATTCAGGGAAATCATAGGAATGTGAAGAACTCTATCCTCTGTGTCCAGAGAGGACAGGAGTGGACAGAGAGGACAGGAGTGGACAGAGAGGACAGGAATGAACAGAATGGACAGGAGTGGACAGAGAGGACAGAAATGGAGCCGAGTGAGGACCCAGGCCAGCCACTGACTTGAGGACAGGGTTTGCTGTGGTCCAAGTGCCAGCCCTGCATCTCCTAGCTCATGAAGGCCTGGCTTCAGTCTGCTTCAGTTTTCTCCTCTGAAGATCACCAGCACTTTTTACCTGAAGGAATGGCTGTGGATCAATTATGTGTTTGATTTACCTAGAATACAAGAAGTGGTAGACACTGTCAGTAGCACAAACTCACTTAAATTTCACTCTCACTCCACTGACTCCTTTCAGAATATGATTCAGATGCTCCAAAGTGACATTTCAGCTACCCATGAAAGCACTATCCTGGTAAGGAGCTGATGTTGCCCCAGAGAATGGGATTCTAAGGGATTCACAGTTTTAATATGCATGTCACTAAAGACAGTGAAGCAGCTTGCACCAGTACTCAAATCACACACACAAAAAAAAATTTTTAATGTCCGTGAGTGTTTGGCCTGCATATAAGTCTGTGCACTATATGTGTACCTAATTCCCACAGAGGCCAGGAGATGGCTCTGGATCCCCTAGGATCAGAGTTATAGAAAGTTGTGAGTGTCCCATCATGTGGGCACTGAGACTAGAAGATGGGTCCTATAGAAGAATGGTCAGCACCCTTACCTGCAGAGCCTTCTCTTCAACCTCCAGAACCACAAAATCTTAGTCCTAACTCCAGGGTGGTGGTGTCAAGGAGTCTCTAAACATACATGAGGTGGAAAAGGGAGAACGGACCTTCTTCTCCAATGAAGGACAGAAACATCGTTTGACTGGGCAGAAAATCAGACAGAGTGGGTGAACAACAGAAAGCACTGGGTGTGGGAATGAGCGTGACCTGGTTTATCATGACTACTAAGTGCCGTGTGGACCTACTCATGTTTCAATAGCACTGTGTGGTTTTGCATCCTTGCTGTCTTCATTACTATTCTGTTGTTGTGTTAAAATACCCCACAATTTGGAGGAAGGGTTTATTATGGCTTACAGTTCTAGGGTAACACAGTCACCATGGTAAGACATGTGGCACCTGCAGGAAGCTGACTAGCCATGCTGCAGTCACACTCCAGAAACAGAGGGAACTGTATTAATGGGATTGTTGATAACTTACAGTTAAGGAATGCTAGCACTTATGTTTTGTTGTGTTTAGCTGGCTGGCTGGTTAGAGTTTGATTTGGGGGGGATTTTTGGAGGGTGGATTTTATCTTAAAATCTTTATATGCAGCACAGGCTCAATTTGAACTAATTATTCTTCTACATTGGTTTCCTGATTGCTGAGCTTATCGATGTGTACTATGACAACTTAAAGCTCTCTCTCTCTCTCTCTCTCTCTCTCTCTCTCTCTGTGTGTGTGTATGTGTGTGTGTGTGTCTGTCTGTCTGTCTCTGCCTCTCTCTGTGTATCTCTCTATCTATTTATCAATCTATCTATCACACACATACACGCACACACACACGCACACAGTGAGAGGGAGGAGGAACAGAGAGAGAAAGACCAATTTCTTTAAAAACCCCATTCCCATAAGATAAAATGTTACCGATTATAACTGAGTCTTGGAGTGCTGAGATGATTTCCTAAGATTGAAACGAGAATAAAAACCTCCAGTCTAGGAGTGTGAACTCTCAATGGTTTTTCCACTGTATGTAAGAAGGACCCGCAAGGGAACTGTGGTAATTTTTGTGTGTCTGTGTTTCTGGTCCCAGCACAGAACAGAATAGGAGGCAGTGACATAACAAGCGCTCTGTTTTCATAAGATCAGTCTGGCAGCAGTGGTGAGTAGGATGAAGATCTGTTCTCTGTGAAAGCCTGACATCATGGAGAGAAGTTTAGATGTTCCTGCTGTAATGAGAAAGTCACGAGGTGATTGACAGGGAATCACAGTATAAAAAAAGGAGGGGGAGGGAAAGAAGGGAGGGAGGGAGGGAAGGAGAAAGGAAGGAAGGAAGGAAGGAAGGAAGGGAGGGAGGGAGGGAGGGAGGGAGGGAGGGAGGGAGGAAGGAAGGAAGGAAGGAAGGAAGGAGGCAGATGAGACAAGGAGATGAGAAAGGGCCAGTGAATGGAGTTGATAGTCATCTGCAGGTTGGGAAGAGGGTTAGGTCCTTTGATGAATAAATATATACTCACCCAGCAAATGCTTCATGATCATTGGGCTGCCAGGAGCTGTTATAAATGACCAGAGTGTTGTGATGAGAAGCAAATGAGGACTTGGTTCTCATGGAACTTGTATATTCATTGAAAGATGTGCTGGTGAGGGACCTACAGAGGAATAGGCCCAGTGGAAGAGACACAGCAAGACAGGGAGACCAATGGGACATAAAGAGAAGAGATGGAGGCAGATTTCAAGGATCTGGACTACCTGGGTGTAGTACTTACTAGCAGGTCTGAAGTTGCTCTCCAGGTTGGCCCTTGAACAGGAGTTGATGCTTCTGGTTCCAAGGCAGGATATCGTCTCTTGGAAAACTTAGCATTGTTGAGAACCTTCAAGTGCTTGGATAAGATCCACCTAGATCAGAAGATTATCTACCCACATCTTCATAGCAGTTACTGGATCGGTGTTGATTGAACAACCGGGTGGCATAGCATTGCTGAGGAGAGCCGTGTGATGGATGGTACTGTGAGAAGTACCTAGTGGCTCCCCATGGAGACTAGGGACGGGCCTTCCATGCTTGACTGACGGATCCCCCATTTCAAAGATAGTTGAGGACATAAAGCAACTTGTCTAAGTGTTGAGAAGGGCTAACAGCTGTTCCTGCTGCCATAGGGTCTCCCATAAATGTGTAGAAAGCATGTGACAGCTCTGCCACTCAGGAATAGTCAAAGGGACCAAAATGGCTGGCTTCTCCCAGGAGCAACACAAGATAGTTAACAGGTTTAGTTGAGAACTTACACCCTCGGTATGGATTCTGAACCTGAGGAGCTCAACATTGCTTTGGGAGAGGGGCAAGGAGCATCTTCATCCAACTTGGGTACCGACAGCCTTCTCTACTAGCAGTGGGACCTATAGAGAGCTCTGTCTTTCTCATGGTACTGTGGTGAAACTGCCCAGCTTCTCAGCACAGGGTGTTCTAAGAGCCACTTTGCTTTCACTCCTCACTCTGCCAAGAATGTTTATCTTCTCACCCCTTCATGTGCACGGTGACTACCGCCCAGCTCCCAGCCCCACCATATCCTCAGATTTCCTTGTACCTAAATTCTGTTCAATCTTGCCGTTGGAAGCCCCACCTCCAAACTCTGTGGGCTTGTCTGGTAATTTTCAACAAGTAATCTACTTACATTTGGTTTTATTTTAGACATTTATTTTATCAGCCTCTGTCTTAGAAGAAGAGCCAGGTCACCGACATCCTCAGTGCTCATTCTAAGTGTTGAACACAAATGTCGTCATATACCCTCAGGAAAGCAGTGATTGTGTGAAATCAAGTTTCCAAGCAATGCATCCACAGGGTGTCCTGAGCTGGAAATAGAACAGTGTGACCCCGGCCGGTACTGTTCCTGTCTTTCTAAGCCCAATCTCCATCTTCCAGGGTTTGGTTTTGGTAATATGCATGTTCATGTATGTGTGAGTGATATGGAAGCCTAAAGTCAATCACTATTGTCATGCCTAGGGAGATATATACAGCTTGTGTTGTGAGACAAGATTTCTCACTGAGATCTGGGCATTTTTTAGGCTAAGCTGGCTGACCAGGGAACCCTAGTGACGCAGCTGTTTCTGCCCCACCAATGACTCTCAGGGTGGCAAACACAGGCTACCATGCCTGGTTTTTTACATATGCCCGAGGAATCCAACTTGGATCACCTGGCTTGTGCATCAAAAACATCATCAATTGAGCTCTCTCAGTCCTAGTCCTATCCCCCTTAATTGTCCTTGGAATCTGAGTTCTTCTGCATGAACCTCTCTGGTTAGATACTCCACTTTTTTATGGAACTGAAAAGATCCAGACAGGGATGGAGTGTTCTGAACAAGCCTCCCCACAGAAGACAGAAAGTTCTGGCTGTTCTTGATCCAGGGAGGAAGTGCTAACATCTTCTGCTCATAGGGAGTCTTTGGAGTTAGAAAGCTTCTGATGCACATAGCCCATGGAGTCGCCAAGCCAGCTCCTACGCCAGGTTGGCATTCAGATAGGACACTGTCTTCACTGGAGGCTTCCTCTGCCAGGCTGGCAAGGCCTTACAGTAATTGGCACTTGAGACTGGCAATGCAGTTGAGCACAGCACTGTAGAGACAGTTATGTCACCCACAGTAAAACCACAGTCCCTATCTGTCTTCTGACTTGACAACCAAGAGGCCACCAGAGCAGCTTAAAATGTCCTTTGTGTTACAAAATGCTTCCAGGAGTTCCTCTGCCATTCTGTGTTTGACTCTCAAATACAAATGGCAATCAGCATTAACTTTAAAGGTAACTTCTGATTGTGACAAAGAAACTTTGGGATGGGGCACAAGTCTTTACAAGTTATCCTACAGGAGACTTTCCTCCTTGCGTTCTTGCCAATGAAGAAGGGGAGATCTCTGGTTTTACACCCTTCACCATTTTTAAGAATAAACAAACCTTGGGAGATTCAGTTGTAAACTTTGTGGAACACTCTTGCAATTCAGGCAGATTTGAGGTCAATTCAAACAAGGGAATACTTTGGGACAGGAGTCCTAACTCTGCCATGTATCAGTTGTGGGACCTTGGACAGGTCAATGAGCTATAGCAGTCTAGGGATTGCCTCACTTACCACTGTTCTAAGACATATGGTTCTCATTCCAGGCATCTTTTCCACAAATCCTGTGTTGACCCCTGGCTTCTAGACCATCGCACCTGCCCCATGTGCAAGATGAACATTCTTAAGGCCCTAGGGATCCCGGTAAGCACAGCTTGTAGCTTTGTCCTGTCTGTCTTTTCCCATTGCCTCCCGAGCAGGAAGACTCTTACCTGGATTTTCCACAACCCCTTGTTGCTATCATCCAACGAACTCTGTGTTTGAACACCTGTCCCCTCACCTTTGCACACTCTGCTCACACCATGTCTGCAATTTGTCTGTGGGTCAATGAAGGTACCACTTGCATGGCTCAGAGGCTGGGTGAGAGGTACAGAGAGTCAGCAGAACACCATGGGGTTCTTTGGTCACCATACCTAAAGGTCCTCAAGGAGATCTACATGCCTCAGTTTGGGTGCTTGCTGCCTCTTGATCACCAAGCATTCTGGGGAAGCTTTTCCTCCCCATTTCCTCCCACCACCACCATCACCCCTCCCCATTTCCTCCCACCTCCACCATCACCCCTATCCAATGGAAGGAGAGGACTAAGACCAAGACCACAACTCAAAGTATCCACTAAACTCACATCTCTGGAGACTTTGAGCAAAGAGGAAATCAAAGCCACTTAGATCCAACCCTGCCATCAAGCTGCTTCTCAAAGTCATGTGTTCCCTGACATTTAGTGACTCTCCTGAGGGTTAGAATCCTGCCAGCTGGCTTACTGCTCCAGGGAAAGGCTTTCCCAGGATTATATCAAGTGAACACCAGCTGCTGGGTGTCGTCCTCTCTGGGCCTATGAGGACAGGAAACAATCCAGGCCACCAAATCCAAGACCTGCACAGGTAGACATGAAGAAACACAGGCCCTGACTAAAAAGAACCTCCTAACTGAACAAAGAAACCAGCTTAAGCCTGCCTGCCCCTCCCCCACCTTGTTGCCACCTGTCTGTTGCCACTCCTATTGACAAAGAATAAAGAGAATGGTAATAGTTCAGGAAGTCACTAAAGAATAAGGGCCAGATCATATATCAAAGTGCTCTTGCATGCCAAATGGCTAATTAGGACTATCAGAGGTCTCTGTTGGACAATGTCCCCAACCTGCTTTGGCTGGCTTGGCTGCCCTGTGCCAGCTGCCTCACTGGCAGTTGATCCACCAACCACAAATCTATTCAAGACACCAGAGGGTTGAGGTAGATTTTATTCACAGTGTACTACATTTTCAGATCAGAGTTGTGCACGCACAGTGCACACATGGATGTGGACCGTGAGAGGAAATTCATGTCCACCACATACCCTTGCGCCTTTCATGTTTATGGCTGTAACTAGTTATTTTAAGGAAGAAGGAAAATGTGTACACATTTCCTTGCAAGCAGTAATGCTTGCATGGATGGATGGATACATTTGCTTGTATATGTGTATGCAACTGAACTCTGCATGTGTGTGTGTGTGTGTGTGTGTGTGTGTGTGTGTGTTATTGCATATGACATTGTGTGCTTTATGGGTCTTGATCGGGTTTGTCTTCTCTGCCAGTTAAAGAATCGAAAGGCTGGAAATATTTGATGCACAAAAGCTGGCAGCAGAGAAATCTTGAGCAGCACAGACAGAATCAGCTGCTGAAGAAAGGTGTTTATAAAGGGTGAAGAAACCCATGCTGCAGATGCAGAGAAAAGGACACCTTGCACAGCAGAGGGGGACTCTGAAAAGCAAACATCTAGTCTCTTCCAGAGGGCTGGGGGTTTTAAAGCTCCTGCAGAGTCTTCCTCTCCTACTTTAGGGTTGGTCAGTTTAAAGACAGGTTGATTGGTTCACAACTGTTGTGTGATAATGTACTGATCTGGCCAGTCCATCAGTGGAGCTGGTGGGAGACAGAAGCCAGCAGGAAGGTGCTGCAGGAAAAGCCTTTCCCAGGATTGCACCAACTAAACACCACGAGTGGTAGCCAGTGAGACATCATCTTCTGGGTATTGTCCTCTCTGGGCTGATGAGGACAAGAAACAAGCCAGGCCACCAAATAAATGAAGTATTCAGGGAAAACACAGAAGGAAGAAGCTGGCCATCTTGGAGATTTACAGTTTTTTACCTAGCCATGCCACGTCTCCCTAGCTGTCTGACTACAGGGGAATCTTTCTTACTCTAGTCTCTTACTTGCATGCATGTGTTCTCATGAACGTGTGTATGTGTGCCCTTATGTGCATGCATGTTTGACCTGCATGTATATTAGTGTATACTGACATTGTGTATTATGTTATCTCATGTGTGCACTGTTGACATGTATGTGCTCATACATGTGTGCTTACATAAGTGGGTTGTATACTTGCATGTATACATACATGCATCATTTCAGAATCCCTGTGACTTCACCTCTGTGTCAGCCCTGGTCTCTTTGGTAGGACAAGCCTGAAAAAAACCCTTGCTCTATACTTAAATTTTATGCTGAATATTTGATTCCAGATTTTCCCCCACAGAAGTATAATTTCTCCAGGAGCTACTTCTTATTGAATTCCAAATATTGATGTTAATTATTTCTAAAATAGAAATACTGAGTAGCCTTTTGGCTTACTTCCAAACTAAATAACGTTTTAATTGTTAGCAGTTGGACACTCTGGCTGAAAGTCCGATGCCTAACAAGTCTGTTAGATTTGACTTAGCATACTCAACTCCCAGAAAAATAAACATCGGTAGCATCTTTGGACTTTGCCAAGGATAAGCCAGCTGAAGAATATGACACATCCACACTCAGCCCACAGAAGAGAACGCCTCGTGAAGAATGAGGCACGTGTACTGTGCAGCTACTTGGGGAGCATTAAGGCTTGTGGCTGGTTCCCTGGGTTTCTCTTTCGTACTGGTGAAGACAGATTCAGGATCTGGCAGGAAATCAGGGTTCTGTCACACAATTATCAGATCCCTGCCTAAAGTGCACCAATGCGGTCGTTTGTTTCATTCTTAGACGTTGCACAGGACTAAACCACCACAAAGCTATGTGACTCAGGAAACATTTCTTACACCAACACTGCTTTAAGGCAGTTTAAGGAAACGGTCTTAATTTTTCCCTATATTCTAAATTAGTTTATCTTAGGTTAGTCTAGTCTAGTCTTGTCTTCTTCAGACAGATTCTCCCTAGGTAACTCAGACTGGTCTTAAAGTTGTGATCCTCCTGCCTCATACTCTCAAGGATCCCTGAGACTACAGGTATGCCTCGCCATACTTCACTAGGGATTTCTTATTTAAGGACCATTGGGAAGAACCCATCACTGCACACTGATGCCTGTCGGTCCTTCACCTCTGTATTCTTGACCATGCTGAGTACTTTTGAAGAAGTAGAGCCCTTCAGAGTATTGAATGCTATCAGTCACAAAATTATATTCATGGATTACACCCAACTCTCCTTGGAAGAGTATTAACTCATGAATGACTTAGTTGTGATTTTGATTCATTTAACTGTTCAAATCCAGGTGGTTTAGGTGTACTATTTTTTTTTTTTGTATTTTTGTTATTTGTATCTCAGTGCATATGTACCTGTAGTGGTAATCAACAAATATACAAATATACAGCTCTTAAGTCAAAACCCAAGAGCTGTAGACAGCATTGTACATTGTACTTTCCCCACAATGGGCTAAACAATGAGAACACATCTCACAACAGATGAAATCCTCATAGCAATGCATACTTTTCAATAACATTTTGTCAAAAATATCATAGGGAGAAGGAAGAGATTTTTTTAATTTTTTTTTAATTTCTAAGAACTTCATACACTTTTACAGTGAACTACAATGGAAGGGTTCGTTGTTATCAGAAGTTTTCTAGCTACATGGTAGTGCTTTATCTACAGATCTGGTATAGGTCTCCCTTACAAAACAGTAGTTTTCTTGAATCCTCTTCCCAAATGTTATAGGATTCAGATTTTGGAGGCCTGGAAACAACTCCTACATCATTGTTCTCCAGATGTGCGTAGGATTCCAACCACCATTGAGCAGAAAATCCTGTGGAACTAGTATAGTCACATGCTTCTAATTATTGGCCACTGATTTATTGGAGGAGTTTTCCCATGCTACCTTAATTTCAGTACCTAGACAGTTTGTTAGCTGATAGCCTTGGGTATGGTCTTTAAGCAGTATGATTATGGCTTTTTTTTTCAAGAGGTAGCAAATGTTCTGGTTATCTATGTAGATTGAATGTAAATTGAGAGGTTCTAGAAGGTTGATTTGTTACCTGCTACTTCCAAGCCAAAGCTGTCAAACCTGCTACCATTGATCTGTCCACTATCTCTGCTCCCTCTTCTCTGAAGAATAGAGTAGAGTTTCTCCCAACCCACAAAGTAAGAACTTTGTTTAAAAATATGCTGTACCAAAGCTGGGGCATGGAAATAGAGAACCATCAATGTCAACAAACAGGGTCACAGCTTCAAAGCTCACACGAGTCGTTGCTGCATACTCATGCATCAGGGCTGTTTGAGTTTGTGAGAGTGATTAGCACTGCCTGCTCCTAGTGAAATCTCTCCCACCCAACGCCCTGCCCTTAAGTGTTTTTTTTTTTTTAATAACCACCTCTACATAGCATATCTCAGTTTTGCACAGAACTTTATAGTTCTTAAAGTATTTTCTCAAACCCTTCTGTCTTTGATGCTGGAGAGATTCTAATACGCCCAAGTTTTGCAAACAGAAATCTGAGAAGCACATAAAATAACCAAATCGATATTTACTGAGCATCTAATTGTGGCCTGAGGTGGAAGCTCGGGAAGCAAAACCAAGATGATGTGGCAGCGCTCATCGGGATGCTTGCGAATGTTGCTTGAGAACAACATGTTGACAAATGACCCCTAAACCACATGAGGCACCATAGGATCAAAGACCTGGGAGGAAGCCCTCCTTAGAACCAGTGACACTGGGAGATTAAGAGAGATTAGCAATCACCAGGGGTCAGTTCCAACCTTAGGATGGAAACAGGAAGATGGTAGGCAAATATCATCTGAGCAAAGGGACAGTATAAAATAAAACACTGAGTGAAGGGAACATGTGTGTGCTTTCTTTCCAAAGGTTGATGGTGAGGCCAGTGTAAGAAGCTGGGCTGAGCTGGGCTGGGCTGAGCTGAGCTGTACGGAGTGTTTTGTCATGCTGACTCATATACCCTGTTCCTGGCACAGAGAGAACTCGTGTCTCTTTTGGGTTTTTGTGTGTGTGTGTGTGCGTGTGGTTTTGCTGTGGCTGTGATCATGGTAGAGGTGGCTGTTGACGGTGTCGTTGCTGTAGATGTTGTTGTTGATATTCCTGGTGTGGTGGTTGATGTTGTGTCTATTGATGTTATTGTGGATGTAGCTGTAGGTGTCTGGGTTGTTGAGGATGATGTGGTTCTTGCTGTAGATGTTGTGGTTGTTGAAGTTGTGGTTGATGTATTTGTTGATGTTGTAGGTGTTGTGATCATTGATGTTGTTACACGGGAGCCTCAGGTGAGAGAGCATAAAGGAGAAAAAGAAACCAGTTGGAGATAGTGGGGAGAAATATTGATAGGAATGATTGCTACCCCTCAAAATCAAAATTAACACATTTAGTGAACAGTGAATTGGTCATTCTATAAGCTGCCTTCTGACAAGCTGAGTGTTGATACATTGCCTCACTTTGACAGAGATACCAAAAGCCAAGGCACAAGAGAACACAGAAAAGACATAAGCTAGCTTTCAGGAACTGTGGGATGGTCGCAGCTCCCAAATGACAGTTGCAAACGAAAGTGTGGTACACAAGAGACAACCCACACACAGCACTGCAGATCTCCTCTGTTTTTAGAACATGCCCATGACTTTACAAGGCTCTGTTTTTAATAATCTGTGAATATAGCATTATCACTGTGGTGCTCATTCAATGCAAACCTGGAATGCTCTTCACTTGGACGTGGATGTCATTCTCTGCAGACTCTGAGGCAAGACATCATGGAATTATTATCCTTTGTGACAAAGAAGTCAGCACACAAAACAAACAAACTGACAGGCAGCAAAAACTACATAGCAAGTTACAGACAGCCAAGGCTACACGTTGAAGGCAGGAGCCTCTAACAAGAGACTGGCTTACGTTTTTTAAACACAGCCTTGCTGTGTGTGGGGTGTGTGTGTGTGTGTGTGTGTGTGTGTATTTACTGTATAATTCCCAGTGAGTAAGATTCTTCTCCGGCCTACTTTCATATCATGTTTGTAAACAATACATGAGACGGACGATAATTAGCAGGCTGCCAGCTCCATCCTGTGTGGAAGAATAAACTCTATAAAAGAGGAAGTCCTAGTTTTATCATTATAAACAACGATCATGTATTCCTCCTAACTAGTTGTTTAAATATAGAGATTTCAAAACACTTGAATTTAAACCCTTATTCATATATCTAAAAGGAACCCTTGGAAAAGAATTTAAGATCTTTTTATGACAATGAAACTATATATAAACTGTTTTTAAATAAAGTGACTGAAAAACAAAACAATAAAACAATGGGCTTAATTTTACATTCAGACACAGTACTAAGGATGTAGGCCTTGCATCTCTATAATGAGGATGTGTTCTAAGATGAATCTTTCTCTGTTCCCTTCAGCCCAATGCTGACTGCATGGATGACTTGCCCATTGACTTCGAAGGCTCTCTAGGAGGCCCACCAACCAATCAGATCACAGGAGCCAGTGACACAACTGTCAATGAAAGCTCAGTCACTCTGGACCCTGCTGTGCGGACAGTGGGGGCCCTGCAGGTGGTCCAGGACCTAGACCCTGCTCCTCAGGAGGGAGAAGCCATCTTTACAACTAACAGTAAGTACTGTGTTTCAAGGGACCATCACCAACAAAGTTATTGCTGCACAGGGATTGGAGAATAAATAAAGAATATGGTTGTGTGAGGGTTGATATTGTTAACTTGACAGAATTTACAGTTACCTAAGAGACAAGTTTGTAGGCAAGCCTGTGAAGGACTGTCTAGATTAGGTTAGTCTCTGGGCATGCCTGTTAAACACTGTCTACATTAAGTTAATTGGTGTGGGAAGACCCTTTAACTTTGGGTGGCATTGAGCCATGAGTTTGGGTCTTAGACTAAATAAAAAGGAAGCAAAGAGCTGAACATTAGCATTCATTGCTCTCTGCTTCCTGGTTTTTGACGCATTGCGAACACATGCCTGAACTTTCTGTTACCGTACCTTCCCTGAAGCAGAAGGGCAGCCCACCTTCGGACATCAGAGGGCAGGTAAGAGAAACAAGTGGCTGGCTGAGACACAGCCTCCACCCGCATTGTTTGTGAGGGGGCCCTTGAACCTTGTGGATATGGCTGTATCAACAGAAGCCAGTCTGATCTGGGTGCAGGTTCCCACGGCTAGGGGACTCACTTCTACATGGCACACCTTTATGTTAGTGATTTTACTTTATTTCATTAAGAGAGAGGATCCTATTATGTTGCCTATGCTAGCCTCAAGTATCTGAGATCTCGAATATCAGTCCATCGATCTCCAGGGTAGCTCGGACTGCAAGTGTGTGCTAATGTCTCACACATCCCTTAAGATGGCCATTTTAGATGCTCCCTGACTATCTTACTCTCCTTCTACATACATGGTTACTAAGTCCTGTGCTGTTTGCTGGTGGTTGTCATAGAAATGTTTGAATGTCTTTATGAGCACTAGATTTGAAGCTAAAATCTAACGTACCTACTATTTAGTCAAATATAGTAAGAGATAAAAGTCTTGGGAGTTCTAAGAAGACCAGCATACAACTTAACTGAGTTAGGTTTAAACTGAGAAGAGTGGGTGGATGATGTAGTTTTAAATGCAGTGTGTTTCTTCTCCTGATAGAAGCAGCATGTTCACTACGGAAAGGTAGAAAAACAAACTGAAGAATTGTCTTGGGTTTTTTCCCATTGAAGTCAAGCTTCTTTCACAGATTTGTAACTCTCATACTAAGACAGAAAGACTGGTATTTTTTTTTCTGACTAACTATATAACTTAAACTGTTGGAAGGTTGAAAGATGAAGGAATTTTTCAAAGAGACCTGAGATGGGGCACCACAATCCAGAAATGGTCACTTTTATTAATGTGTTCTATTTTCTATTTCTTTTTATTTACATTTATTCTTTTTGTGGTGGAATGTGTTCGTGTGTCATAGGGCACATGTGGAGGTCACAAGAGAGTGGGCCAGAATTAACTCTTTCCTTTTACCATGTGGGTTCTGGGGATCAAATGCAGGTTACCAGGTGTGGCAGCAAGCTCTCTGCCAGGTGAGCCTTGACACCAGGCCATTGTGTTCATAGGACTTCCACAGAAGTCACATCAGGGAATCACAGTGTTGTACATCACGTTGGCAGGATCAGTTTGTTTGTTTGTTTGTTTGTTTGTTTAATTAAAAAAAGAAGAGTTATAATTTCGAAAACTTGATTTTTCTGGGTGTAAGGACCTCATATTGAAGTACTGACCACTGGACACTTGAGATTCCTTACAGGCTGGTCTGATCCCTCTATTTCACAGTACTGTCACAAACTGATGTCATGGTAGCCATATGACTTGTCTAGTACCATAGTACAAAAAGGTCAATGGGCAATGCTCACTTGAAAAATACATATTATTTAACCAAATATATCCAAAATACTTTATATTCTTTTTTTTGTAATTGATCTTCAGAATGTGGGTTGTAGTCTTCACTTCTCATGTGTTTGGATTTAGGACAGCCACATTAGAAGTGCCCAGTAGTCCTGTGTGAGGAGGGGCCTAGCACACTACATCATGTAAACAAAACCCCCAGTAATGTGAAAGAGGAACCTCGAATGTTAGTTGTTCATGTTTGTGTTTATTTGTATGTTTTATAAGGCTATTTGTTTGATCGGTTGGCCGGTTTTGGTTTTCAAAACAGGGTTTTTCTGTGTAGTCCTGGCTCTCCTGGAACTCTGCTCTGTAGACCAGATTGGCCTTGAACTCAGAGATCTCTCTGCCTTTGCCTCCAAAGTGCTGGAATTAAAGGCATGAGTCACTGCTACCAGGTGTTGTTTTTGTTTTTAATCACGATAAGCTTCTAATTTTTCCTATAAGAAAATTACAGACCAGTGGAGTGAACGTCTAACCCAGGCTGCAATAAGTTTTCTCTGTAGAATTCAAGTAGGGTCTCGTGGATTTTCTATTATTGGGGACTTGCTGTTACCATCAGACATTCTGGGCACTAACACACTTGGGAAGAACATAGAAAGGTCTGACAGAACATCTCCAGCAGTCCAAAAACATGGAAGCCACTGGCAAATTTTTAAAGCCTGTAAAAAGAACAAAAATAAAAGGTGAATCATTCTCCTTGCAATAGACGATTGAACTTAATTTGAAAATCTGTTGCATGCTTCTCACAGACCTCAGTTAAGGCCAGGTGACAAATGAAAAAGCATTTATATTTAATATGGTTAAATATCACTCAAATGGAATAGATATAAATACACGGTGGACTAAAATCCATCCAAAACAAAATAGAAAATTATAGTCTGTAGACATGTGATCCATAACTCTCAAGCTTTTTGAGTAAAATAGAACTGGAATGAGCAGGTCAAAGTAGGCCCTTGTTGGATGTCTATTGAATGCCTTGCAGTAAAAGTGTTTAATGTAGGCTTGAAGCAGGGACCTCCTGTTCACACTGGGAGGGGCAAATGCCACGTTTCAGATGCAAGCTTTGGGAAAGGCAAGATGAAGAGTGAGCGGGGGAAAAGGAGCAGGCCTGTGTCCGAAGACTAACTGGCAATGTGTATGTGCTCAGAGAGACTCATTTCTCAGCCTAGAAATTGACTGCTGCCTGCAAAAGAGTCTCCTAGGCCATCTCCTTCTGATTTGCTTTATTTATTTGAATTTGACAGAAATGGGTAAACAAAATGACACAATAGACGCCTTAAGGGGAAAGTTCTCTGTACAGATTTTCAAGTTTTCTAGTGCCCTCTTCAAACAAACCAGTAAGTGAGCAAACACAACCCTGCTGCTAAATGTATGCTGATTGCTGTTCTCCTAACACTAATTCTCCTCAGCTCCTTGGTGCTGTCTGACACTTTGGGCTCAGTGTAGAGTACTTGCTTCATGTTTGGTGTTCAGTGTAGGGGGCCATGGGTGTGGCCCCCACTTCAATCCCTAGAACAATAGCAAAAGAAATAAGATGGAAACATACTGCAATCAATCACAAGCAGTCAAATGGAGACCTTGGTATCCAACTATACTCTCTGCACTTACACCTGCACAAACCAGAGAATTACAGAAGTTAAAGAACTAGTAGCAGTTAACACATCCATAGCAACAGGCCCCCAGCCAGCACCCTTTGAAGCCTATTTCATACAGTTGCTCTCAACAGTCCTGTGAGGTAAATGTTATTCTTATCTTTCCTTCGCTGATGTGAATGTGGAGATCCTGAGAGATGAATGGAATTGACCAGTGTTCATACGCTTGTGACAGGCGTGTCTGGAATTCAAACCAGGCTACTGGCTCTTCACATACACTCAGATGATATATACAGGGTGGAGACAGGGAATGCACCCTGGCTGGCTCACTTCCCATTTCACAGAGTTATTCACCTCTTGTCACTTCAGACATCCTAAAAGTTCCAAACTTAGCTCAGCTTCATCGGTATTGGCCTTCCTACTTCCCTTCCCCTCAGCAAACAGAGCTTCTGCGCTGTGCTAGGCTGCCAGCACCTAGCAGGAAAGTGTAAGCAGAATGCCACAAAAGAAGGGAGAATCTGGCATTAAAACATCATCTTTGGCTCCCAGAAAATGGGGAGAAAGTAAAACAAAGCATTTGTAAAGTTGCGAAGTACCTAGCTTGAGACTGGGGCGGGGGGGGGGGGTGTTCTTCACTATCCATTCTCAGTGCTCCTGACCAACTATTTTTTTTGTCATTTTGACACAGCAGTCCATACCACTTTTTTCTTCTTGGCCTCATTTCCAGTCCTGTGTGCGGTTGTTCAGATGCCCCTTGCTACACTCTACCTGCTGTGTAGATCGTGCCAAAAACTTTGCCTCTGGCTCCCAAGCACTGGTTGCCGGTGGTTGGGTTTGCTTGCACTGAGGGAACAGGGTGTCTTAGGAACAAAGGGAAACACGGCTAAACAATCATCCCCATGTGTTTGGAGACTCCGAAGAGGAGCTAGAGAATGATGCTGAGGGAGACTGCCACACCTTCCCAAATCCCTCAAGTTCCACTTGTCATCTCCTCAGGAAATTCTGAAACCTTCCTTTTAGTTTTCAAAGGCTTGTTGACTCCACAATCTGCTTCCTTCCTTCCCCTCTGAACCACTCCAAAGGCCTGTGATAACGATCTGCTTCAGAAGGCTGCCTACTGTCCTACCACAGCCAGCCCAAGTGGAGAAGGACAGAGATAGCCAGAAACGTGCAATCTCGGATGCCCAGCACAGTCTGAGAAGCACTTGACATGACCAGAAGTGCTGTCTTTCAGACCCTACAGAAGCAATACGCATGAGTGGGTGTGGAGACTAACAGAACTTAGCCAACTAAAGCAAAAGGTGAAATGGGTTTCCTCTGGAAAATGTTCTTTGCTAACTTCCTGTCAGCCTTGGTCCATTAAATACACAGGACCTGTGACAACTTCAGGATATATTTTTCTTTTTGTTTTACTGATGAATTGAGTGCATGGCTTGAGTAGACTGCCCCAGCCCACCCCTCCCCCTGGATGAGCATTCCAGCAGACTCAAGCATGGTCTATTTGCTAACTTGACAATTAAGAGACTCAAACCCAAATCAAAAGAAAAAAATTGTTTTCTTCTGTGCCCTTTCAATTCCAACTCCTGTACCCCACAGGAGA